TTCCTCTTTCTAATTTCTTTCATGTCTATCGTTTTCTCTCTGTATTGTCGAACATTATTTCCACGACGTCGCGCGGTGGTCATAAACGCTGGCCTTAGGAGAATCCACGTCCATGACGGAATCGATCAGAATGTAATTGTGAGGAATAGTCCTTTCGTGCCTCGAAGAATAAGTGGATGAAGGCGGAAGCACGATATTCGCAGACCATGACTGCCTTTCTTCTTTAATGGGAATTATCCATCTATATACCAATGGGGTAGGAAGACGAGGGTGCCGTTTTGATTTATTTTCGTAATTTATCTTTCCGAATGCAAAAGATATCAGGGTAGAATACGACGATAAAGAAAGGAGGAAAAGAAAAAGAGGGAAAATAATCATTCAACAAAGACGTTCTTGCAAAATTCAAATTATCCTAACTAAATTACACATTCTTTGTAAATGAATTAGATTTGTGGCGTATATAATAACCAGTCATTATGTATGATTTATAAACATTTATAAAAAATTAAAATGTTGAATGAGAAATAATCTACATAAGTCGGACTTCTTCAAATGTTAAATAATATTTCATATTTTTCTGACACAAATCGAATATTGAATTCTGATTGGAAAAATTAATTAGAAGAATTTACAGAGATTTTTTTCACAATTTTGCCCATGTTTTATAAATGTTATATCATATTGAATTACAATACGTATACTTTATGTTAACTTTTAAGTTATAATAAAGATCTCATTGACTGAAATTGATATCTAATGAATCAGACAGGAATCAATCAACAACGAATATTGTTATCAATGATGCTGAAATAATTTTACAGATTATGACGCGTCAATTCAATTAATATTATTCGTTATTTTTCAGCATTATTTGTTGAATTAGCGCCGTTATTAAGGATAAATATAATAAGTATATATTACAATATAAGTATGTATTTGCATTCATATTAATTTTGCTATAACTGATATACTATGTCCAAAGTTATAAGAATGCTTTGTTGTGATTTATAAAACGTTGTATTAAACTTCTAAGTGTTTTCATTTCTATACATTATATTTTTTAAGCATTTATCATTTTTAATAATCTTATACATTCATCGGACAGAAATCTTAAGAAATTGGAATTATATGCCGATAAATAAAACTTTCATAATAAAAGAAGATAATTCTATTCAATAAAATTGCTTTTCTTATTAAATAAAAATTTGCTTTTTGAAGAGAAAGATTACGGTTATATTTACGGTTATAATAATAATATA